GAGGGCGGGGCTGGGGGACCGTCCACCCTGACCCTCTGCCCCGCCCCCAGGCTGGAGGCGAACACGCAGCGCGAAGTGGCCGCCCTGCGGCTGTGTCAGTCGCACCCCAACGTGGTGAAGCTGCACGAGGTGCATCACGACCAGGTGATGCCTTCCTGGGCCGGGCGGGGTGGGACGCGGGGTGCACGGAGGCGGGGTCTGAGGGGGCCGCGGGAGGTCGGGGATTTGAGGGGAGCCGCCTGGAGGACCGCAAGGCGGAGCTACAAATGGCCAGAGAATGGCATTTGGGGAGGGCGTGGGGGGTAGGATTTAAGGTGACCAAGGGGTGGGGGTCCTGGAAGCAGCAGGGGTGGTTCTTGCTGGTTTCCCTGAGGTCGGGGCTCCACGTTTGAGTCCTGAGGCTGGGGCGGGGGCCTGGCTTGCGGTGGGTCGGTCCAGGTGACCGTCGCCGACCCTGCTGCCGGCAGCTGCACACGTACCTGGTACTGGAGCTGTTGCGGGGCGGGGAGCTGCTGGAGCACATCCGCAAGAAGCGGCATTTCAGTGAGTCCGAGGCGAGCCAGATCCTGCGGAGCCTGGTGTCGGCCGTGAGCTTCATGCACGAGGAGGCGGGCGTGGTGCACCGCGACCTTAAGCCCGAGGTGGGCGCGGGGCCTTGGTGGCCGGGCCTCGGTGGCGGGGTAGTGCTGCCGCAAGGAGGGCGGGTCTCTGACGCCGGCTGCCTCCCTCCCAGAACATCCTGTACGCTGACGACACTCCTGGAGCCCCGGTGAAGATTATCGACTTCGGGTTCGCACGGCTGCGCCCGCAGAGCCCCGCGGGGCCCATGCAGACGCCCTGCTTCACGTTGCAGTACGCGGCCCCCGAGCTGCTGGCGCAGCAGGGCTACGACGAGTCCTGCGACCTCTGGAGCCTCGGCGTCATTCTGGTATGGGACCGGGTCCCCGGAGGGGTTCAGGATCACCCGAGTCTAAGGTTAGGGGTCTTCCTGATGAAGGGCAACCACAGGGGCGCTAGGGGCAGGGTTTGGTATGAGGCTGGGGCCAGAGGCCGTCCTGACGTGGAGGCAGGGGCGCTGTGGCGTTGAGAGCACCCCCTGTTGGAGGTCAGCGTCATCGCCAGTGGGCCTCAGGAATTACCCTCGGACAGAGGGGAACGGGCCTGGGGGTGGGCTGAGAAGTCAGCCTCCCCTTGCTGGCCCGCAGCCGCCGACTCACTTTCCCCCTGGTCCCCCAGTACATGATGCTGTCGGGGCAGGTTCCCTTCCAGGGGGCCTCGGGCCAGGGCGGGCAGAGCCAGGCCGCGGAGATCATGTGCAAGATCCGAGAGGGGCGCTTCTCCCTTGATGGCGAGGCCTGGCAGAACGTGTCTGAGGAGGCCAAGGAGCTTGTGCGAGGTGCGGAGCCACAGTCACAGAACCCCTCTGGGGAGGGGGAGGCCATGGGGTCGTTCATGTGGGATAGGGATCGGCACCGGGTTCAGTGCCCTGGTGAGAGGACTGGTCCGCGAGGAGAGTGGGGCCCTTAGGACCCCTCTGGGGGCAGCCTCCACACACAGTCCGCCCCGATGCTTCCTCACCTCCAGGGCTCCTGACCGTGGACCCGACCAAGAGGCTGAAGCTCGAGGGGCTGCGGGGCAGCTCGTGGCTGCAGGACGGCAGCGCGCGCTCCTCGCCCCCGCTCCGGACGCCGGACGTGCTGGAGTCCTCGGGGCCCGCTGTGCGCTCGGGGCTCAACGTCACCTTCATGGTGAGGCGCGGGGCCGTGGGTGGGCGTGGGGTGTGGACCCGCCTGGAGAGGCGGGGTGCCCAGGGGGCGCAGTTCTCAAAGCCCGGGAAGGTGGGGTGAACTGAGCCCTGGTCTCTGGCCCGTTGGGGGCCTGACCGTTCAGGGTGCTGGAGGCCGGAGGCCAGGGGCCTGTGGGGCGGGAGGGCCCGGGACGGGAGCCAGAGCTAGGATCTAGAAGTCCAGGCCTGGCGGGTGGTGGGACCCGCGGTGTGCTCTCTGTCAGGCGTTCAACCGGGGCAAGCGAGAGGGCTTCTTCCTGAAGAGCGTGGAGAACGCGCCGCTGGCCAAGCGGCGGAAACAGAAGCTGCGGAGCGCGGCCGCCTCCCGCCGCGTCTCCCCGGTGCCTGCCGCCCCCGGCCGGCCCC